TGCTGATAGATGATGGAGAGCAGCTTGGCTAGCTCCTCTGCCAGCTCTCTCAGCACTCTCGGGTGGATAATACATTATATATATTATATTATATATAATATAATAACCTGTCTATACAAGGTGTTTAAATTTAATAACATTCAGAATCACCTCAGATTTCTTTAAATATTCAAGGAAGTTTCATGACTTGATAATTTTGGCCACCATTTACAAGACTACCAGCTAGCATTTCATTTACCATCCTTAGATTGTTATGTACATTATTAAAATTTGCATACATAAGCATTTACACTGAAATGCCATGATGATGATTAAAGGATTAGAGCAACTGACATAGCAGGAGATGATGAGAGAGCTTGACTGTTCAGCCTGGAGAAGAGAAATCTCAAGGGATCGTACGAATGTGTGTAAATACCTGAGGGGAGGGTGTAAAGAAGGCAGAGCCAGGCTCCTTTCAGTGGTGCTCAGGGCTGTGGGGAGCTGGAGACCGGCACTGCTGCAGCATCACTGGGGCAGGGACTGATGGCCCTGGGGGGGCTGAAATGGGGCCATGGGTAGGGTAGGGGGAGGCTCTTATTAACTCCAAAATTACATTTGGGAAGGAAAGTTGGTGAAAGCCGCCTCCATGCCTCTGACTTCTCTTCAAACACACCGCATAGTGTTGGCCATCAGTGAAACTGCATCAATTAGGAAATGTCTGTTGTTTTACTTGTAACACAGAATATAGCTTTTTGTGAGTAAGGAATACAAAATAACAGAGCAAGGTTTCTATGGTAGCGTATTTGCACTTAGACAATTGGCCCGTTAAGCTGGTCAATTTTCTTTTAAAGCCTCATTTAACTTCTGCAATATATTATGACTCACAAGCTCCAGTATCAAATAGGTAAGTTTCAGTGAGCTATTATTTCAGTATCGCCAATTATTTAAACTTCATGCTGCAATATACTTGATAAACATCAAAGTTCATATTAAATACCATATTTATAGTACATGAAGTATTAGCTTACATTCAACAGAAAGGGACCTAACATTTTTCCTGTGTAAGAAATGTAAGCCAATGTCAGCGGACCATCAGGGTGTATCTATACCAGACAATGATAAATGATTCAGAAAACTCTGGATGGCACCAGTCAAGCCTCTTTAGGACCCAAACACAGTTTAGCCGTATCAACATGAAGTGAAACCCAAGTTAATAGGCCAGGAAGATGTATTAGTTTACTCATGAACACAGGGTAACATAGCCACAGTCCCACAAAGAATGACACTGCCCCATGTGGATACCACAGCTTAGCTCAGCGCTAGTTTACGTGCATATGAAGCATGATCTGTCAGACATGTTCAGTGTGAAAATATTTGGATGTAAGCCGATGTTTTGGGGAACTGAATAGATCTGTTTAGGAATTTTTTGCATAATTTTTTTTTCTTGTGGAAAAAAATCTGTACCAAAGCGACTTACTTTTACCTCCAGATAAGTACATCTGTGAATATGGAATTTCTAGGAAAGATTTCTCAGGTCCAAGGAGGAGTTTCAGGCCACACTGAAGATGTATTTACATTGTTTATGAATTCTTAGGCTACACTTCTGCCTTCCCTTTCACACCAGGACAGCAGATTAACCCTGGATGTAGGGCCCCAGCTGTACCGTGTAGTTTGAGGAAGAGATGAGAGGCCAGGCACGTACCAGGTGAGCGGCTAGATGTAAGGCTGCTCCCACAAGACTTGTAGCTGTTGCTGCTGCTGGCTCACCAAGCCTGAGCCCAAGGTCAGAAGACCTTCCTCAGCATGAAGCAAGCATGAGACCATTTTCTGAAGGTATCATCAGAGACAGCCTGCCCTGTGAGCTGCGAGAGGAGGCAGCCATGGCCCTTGGTCATGCAGCTCGAGGCTTAGCACTCTGCCCTGCATCTGCCCATCCCCTCCCCTCAGCCCCATGCTGTTTGGGAGCACCTCTGCTCCTCCACTGCACATCCTCCTCTTTGGCATTAACTTCTGCATGGATTAAAAAAGGGATTAAATCTTCCCTCTCCAAATGGCTGTTTTTTGACACTGTGCCCAGTGTCTCTAAAATCTGAATAGTCAAATATCAAATGGAAATAGCTTAACTAGGAGAACATACAGGAGCGCAAGCCCGGGACTTCACCCTCAATACAGGCAAAGGAAGAACTTCCATTTATCACAAGTATCAGTACTGCTTCAGTTCAAGAACTTTTTCTGAAACTCAGAAATCATAGTGAAAAAGACATTTTCTGTCTAGTCTGGAGTGGAATATAGCTGCAATACAAAGGTTCTCTCGCAAATAAGATCTATTTCCTGAAAACATTACCAGCATTCACCTCTGTCAGCCCTTCACGCCTTTCCTGGGGAGCTGAACTAGGACAATTGTTGGTCAGTGTAATGGGTCTTATGGGACCAGTCCAGCTGCTGTAACTCCAACACTGTGCTTCAGATCATTTATTCTGAAAGTCATTTTTTCCAGGATCATTTATTTCAGAAACTATTTTAGCCCCTACAGGCTGAGAAACACAATGAAAAAAAAAAAAAAAAATTTAGAGCTTCTCCATGCCAGGAGAGAATTTAGAGCTTCTCCAGGATTTGCACAGCTAAAGATCTGGCCCACTCTCTACATGACTCCTGAGACAGAGTAAAACCAACTTAGGCTATCAAAAGAGAGAGTTGTAAGTGTGCTGCAAAAGGGACGTCAGTTTTAGAAACCAAAGAACAAAATAAGAGAGGCTGAAAACTGAGAGAAAATAATACAAATGGATATGATATCAATAAGAAAAAAAGGAAAAATCATTTGTCAATCACTCTTTCACACAAAACACACACTCACACATTCCTCCTTTAAAACTCTTGCTCCTTTATAAACAGTAAACTGAAGAGTCAGATTTTCAAGGCACGGAAAGCCTTCTAGCTACTACATCACTTGTCTTTTTTTTTTCCCCACTAAATTAAAAAAAAAAAAGAAAGAAAAAAAAAGAACTAAGGCAAAGAGGAGTGCAAGATCATAGTTCAACAGTCAAAGTTAAAAAAGGCTTCTTTCCCAACAATCCTCTTTTTATTTTAGCCAGACTCTCATTTGTCTTCCAATATCTCTACCTTGGGAGTTTCATGTAGTGTTTTCAAATAACTCCACTATGCAGCTTAATGAAAATAATCAGACTATCCTTTATGAAATAACTTTTTGCGAAATAACCCTGTAACACAAATTCAGGAGTACCCAGTCTCCACCCCTTATGATCCTCTCTGAAGATATAGATAGCACAGAAACTCTTCAGAAAGTGCTTTCATTGGGTTTCATTTTAAATTGAAAGACTGTGAGCTATGTACGGTTACAGATGCTCTCTTGAAAATAGCTAGTTCTGTAAAAGACATTTGCCAGAGAAAACAGCTTTATCCTTACCAGATAGTTTAGCTATTTCCTTCTTTCTTTTCCTTTTTATTTTAAAAAAGCAAATTTTTAGACAGCTGGGGCCATATGTTCTGTCTAGCTACCCATCTTACTCCCTCAGGTTACACTGAACAACTTAAGTGCAATTGAAATCCAAATTTGGCTCGCTAAATTCATTTGACAGATGTACTAGAAAAATGTCATTTGTAAAAGTAACTTGGATATAGCCATAAAACCTTTTTCCATTTCTCAAGCCACTTTCTTTTCTTTTCCTAATACATATGTACAACAAATAGTTCATGTCTGAACATGGTTACCATTTTAGCAATCTGGCATATAAGCAGTTCTGTCAAGACAAAATACAGATTTTAAATGTTTGGCTCTGACAGACCTTTTAGTGCTGCTAGAATGCTTCCTATTTTCAAGGTTACCTAATAAGCCTCTTAACTTATGGATAACTTCACAGAGTAATACTGATATCCTTGAATCATTTACCAATGACTGCAGTGTACTCAGTGAAGTAATGCTGCCATTGCTTTAAAACAATACAAGAAATGCAGGGATATAGAAGGAATGGATGATTCCTTTTCTTTTCTTCTCTTCTCTCTTCTTCTTTCTCCTTCTCCTTCTCTTTCTCTTTTTTTTTTTTTTTTTTATGATTGGGTTATGCTTCTGCTATGTCATGAAAATGCTTCGGCACATAATGCAAAGTAACATTGTTTATATAGAGAGACACAGAAACAAAATGTCAGCAGGAGAAGAATGAACACACAGTGATTTCATTTGCGATTATTAAGCTCTGTAGGGAATCTTCATATCAGCTCCTTATACTGTTTTCTATTTCTCAAAGCAATACAATTTGCTGTTCAGTGCAAGCCGCTACCCACTAGATGGGGCCCCAGGGCAAGAAGTTCTCGGCTCACAACGCCGGGTCCACCCTGAGAAGCTGCACTTCCAGAGGAGAAATACAATAAGGGTAAAAAGTGGTCTGAAATATCAGCACCACAAACGAGTTTAAGAGCTCGAGCTGGATTTGGAACTTAGTTCATAAGGGAACTTGAATTCTACTAGCACCTACACCAGAAGGAAAGCACAGATCCTCTACCTCCCAAATTCTTGACTACCTAATCCTTAAAACCCAACATCCTTAAAACCCAACATCCTTTAAAAAAATGAGGTCCCTGTATTCTACCAATGAAATTCAGAAGATTTTCACATATCTGTTTCTGACTACGTAGAACTACGGCTTCACCTACTCACAGGGGAGGACATGGACAAAACGATGCCGTACAAGTAGCACCATGTATTTCCTCCCTGTTGGTCCAGATAACAGCAATGCCAGCATCCCTCAGGAAAATATGTTTCCAACAAGCAATAGTCCTTGGAGACCTTTCAGCTATGGCTTGGTCTGCTGGGCGCTCAGTCTCTCACAGAAATGCATCAGCTTCTATGCCCAGTTTCTGCTTCATAGATCCACACCTACAGAAAATGTTGATCTTCACATATAAAATGAGAGAAGGGGTCAAGAAACAAAAATCTCTGCACTTCACAGCCAGAGCGATAACCACTGATCCAAGACATCATTCTGATTTGTATTCATTTTGACCCACAACTGTTCTTCATTTAATCTGTTCAAAGTTGATCCTCAGCTGATGATTTACCATCTTGCAGGTGATTGTCCTACAATGTGAATGTAGACTGCTATTATTATATAGCTTACCCCCACATTTGTATCTGAACTCATTACCATGGGCTACCTTTACTGCCAGTGGAGAAAGCCACTTCACAAATGCATTTCATCCCATTCTGAAGTAAATGTCTAGAATTGGTCCCCCTAGAGTAAGTAGTTCAGACATAGATGTCAAAGCTGCAGCGGTTTTAGAGGTGGGCAAAATGGCCCCTGCATCGACTTCTCAGAGGAGACACATTTTCTTAGCTTTGTGTTTAACAACACATGCAGTAGCCTTCTGAGTAAAAACATGAGCTTTTCTCTCAGATTCATCAGATTTGTAGGGCAACTTTACAACCGTCTATCTGAAACCATATGATTCTTTTCTGGGAGCCTCCCACTGCTGAAGTGACAAAATTTCAGCTTTCAACTTAAATTTGTAAGCCAAAGATATGCCAGAACACGTTAATGGCAAAAGCTTAAAAAATTTGTTTGAAAGTTTGGAAAATGCAGGGTGGGAAGTTATTACCATGGTAAATCTCATGCAGGAGAGAGAAACTTAAACCTTGAGCCTTGAAGTTAATTATTCTAGGAAAGGTTATCCACATTATGGTTAGACAATGCCATAAACCTCCCCACACAAACTTTTGTCAACTCTATGGTCTGTTTCTGTTCTTGTGAAAAATCAGGCTTCTGATGTTTACCAGCTTGCAGGAAAATTAATTTTTCGTATCAGCTGTGCAACAGCAGCAAGTGTGAGAGGGGAACGAGATGTGCTGGGTGAAGACAACCCGGACAGGCCAGACATCTTAGACTTGCTCATGCCAGAACGCACAACAGCCAAGCCGAGGTTGGCTGAATTGTTATCCTGTTTATGTCTGCCTGGATCAGACCCTGGAGCGCCAGCCTTCTCCAAGAGCAACTTCTGATGGCAGGACTCATTGGCTACTCGTGAACCTAACAGGAGATTCCCAGGCATGCTAATTCCATCATCAATACTGTTACAATGTCAGAGTAGGACATTGTATCCCTTTTGGACTAGGATGCATGGTACTTTCCCAAACAATTTCTGAGTACAGGCAGGATTCAGCCTGAGCAAGACATCATTGCCCATGGAGGTTTGGAGGTGGTCCTCCTGTTCTGCTAGCTCAGAGAGCTTTATAGTGCAGACATGGCCATGCCAGCAGTTCTAGGGAATGGCCATGACAGCCATAAGCCTGTTCATTTTATTAGTACATATATATATATGGTAAGCCCAGAACCTGGTAGATTAAAAAATGGAGCACTTGCTGAGAACGAAAAACTGCGAAACAATATTGTCATTTGGAGTGATGCCATGGGAGATATGCACCACAGGAGAAGCATGGAGGTAAAGCAGCTTGTGCATATTAAGGCAAGGTCACCAGCAATCTTGGAAGCCTGTAACTGGAGCAGGGGAGAACAACGTGCCATAAGAGAATTGACAAAATTAAAATGAAGGAATGGAATCATTAACATGCAAATTCAGGATTCAACTGAAGCAAAGAAACCAAAACAGACAAGACCTTTCTCTTTTCCATGTCCACACAGGCTGGCACAGGAGAAGGAACATGAGCTCCAGACACCACTGAGTATTTGCAGTGTCCAAAGTAGGAAAGTGCTTCTGAACAGGCAGGCACGGGGAGAGCCAGTGGTTTCTGACGACACTAAGTCTTCCTCAGGAGCTGTGCAGGGCAGGTCCAGACTGAAGAGTGCTTTCGCTCTCCTTTACAGCTCTTTCAAACCAGCCCCACCTCCCATCCGGTAATTTAAGGAAGGGGGAAGGAGATCTATTACTTCATCCTCATGTATGTTTCAGCTTTTCTTTGCTGCCTCCTACGCTTCATCTGCCACTGCTTTAATCTGCCCACTCTCCCACTTTTCACATGGCTCTTTCACAGTTCTATGTCAGGAAGATATTCCTTCGTCACCTGCATGCCTCGCTTTGCCGAGGCCACTTTCTCACACGCCTGCAACTGTTCCTTCTCCCCACAGCATCTTCAGACATTCTTTGCATTAATCATTTAATCAATCAATCATTTTCCATGTTTTTGTTATCCTCTGAGGGGTTTTGATTTTCCAATTTACTTTTCTCCTGTGCTTTATTAGACTATGGCATGCTTAGCTCTCTCCAAAGCTCAACGTGAGAATTGAATGGGAATGGGTGAGCCCATAATCTCTCAGACAGTGCTCTCAAGATAATTAGCACATATTGTTAGAAACACGGCATCTTTGTTTGATTTATCCAGAAATTGCTCAGTAGTTCTGTGTGGCCTGAAGACACATCAAGAAGTTACAAAATGCAGAGGAAGTGTATCTAAAGCACATTTCAGGTACTGAGATTTTTGGTAATAAACCAATGAAGAAATGAGGATGTTGTGCACCCTCAGGTAGACTAATGGGAATACTACTACCTTAACAAACTTTTCATAGTATCCAGCCTGAGTCTTTTTAGCTGCAGAGTAAGCAAAAATTAATCTGATTTCTTCCTGCACTTCCTAAATGAACAAAGAGAACAACTGATCATTATCTTCTTTAATAGCACCCTTTTACATAATGAAAGGTTTCTCATGTTCCCCACTCAGAGTTTCATTTTCTGGATTAAACATAGCCAGTGCTCTGAAACTTTCTTCATTTCCTAAACCTCACGTTCCCTTTGCTGCCCTCTGAATTCCCTCCAGTGAGTCCACATTTCCAGTCAAGGACAATGCCTGAAAGTAGGTGCAGTATTTCAGATGGTCTCACCCCTGCCAAGAAGAGAAGTGTCATTAATCCCCATTAATGCGTATACAAATAATGCTGCTGTTCAGACTGGTTTTTTTAAATGGCAACTTTCTCTTCGGTACATAACAGAATTGCACTGTAACCCAATATCCTTTGCTTTCCAGTATCACCCTGAGGGACTTGGTGGGATTCTACCACCTGGCCAGCTGCTCCTTACCTCCATTCCACATTTAATTTCTCATCCACAAGAGCAGCATTTTGTGCCATTCGTCACTTTTCCTTAAGGTGTGAGGGAAATGCCCAGCTTTTTACTCCACTTAGGAATAGCGCGCAGTTTTCATGCCTTACTTCAGGGCCCTTGCTTGTTGCCATGTCTATTCACTGCATGACTCCATCCCCAGAAGAAGATGCATGCTGTTACGCTTTCTGTGATAAAACAGTTCTGAAGTGCAAACTCCTCCTTGCTGTCATGAGGTTCATTTTTATTGCCAGCCATGGCATATGGGAAAAAAGACACACTCAGCCTCCGTGTGGGTGATGCAGAAGGTAAAATCTGAAAAGGAAACAGGAGGAAACTGGAACACTTGTTACTACAAGACAGAGATAAACATGAGACAGACCAAATGGTTAAAGCAGGCGTATACAAGGTGTCCAGGATCTTGTCCAGGAAGTTTACATGAAACAGATTATATGGCATTAAAAATTTTAAAAAATAAAGCTTACTTCAAGTATTACATTGCCTAAACAGTCTGGGAATGGGATGGAAGAAAACTGGCCTTTCATTACGTCCAGGAGATGAACAACTTTGTTCTGGCGAACTCAGGGAAGAAAACTCAAAGTTCAAAGGCTTTCAGAGGAATAGCATGTTCAGGTCAACAGCCTGGGCTCACTTTGGGCACCTGCAAAACCAAGTAAGTCATGGAGCATGAGAGTTACTTGCTGCCTGCCTGGAACATCATGTACAACGCAAGGCAGTCTCAGGCATGTCTCCCTGAAAACGGCATGACTGTAATCATAACCTGAGGTAGCAAAAGCAAGGCCTGCATCTATGAAAATATTCACATCATTAGGTACCGTTTTGAATATACTAGGCTCTCTGGTTAAAAGACTTTATGTCCCCTTGTTGGTGCACCTTCTAGTTATTCTACATTTACTATTTACCATCTTTGTGCTACCTCTTCTTGACAGAATTGCAGTCAGCTCATCCAAATCTGTCCTGCAATTTCCTACACATTTTCAAAGCCATTCTGAAAGAGAAGAAAGGTAAAGCCAAGGCATTTCATTCAGTCTTAACCTGTTACAGCAAAGTCCTCCAGAAAAGATACATTTTTAATATTTCTACCTGTCATTAAATGAAATTTTCTCCCTGAGGTATTTCTCCTTCTGTGCTTGTTTGCAAATATGGCACCAATGTGGCACTGACATCTGCTTAGCTTCCACACAAAATAATCCCACTGAACCCCAGGGGTGAAATTCAATCCCATTACAGTAAAGACATGTTCTCCATTGGCTCACCTGGATACAGCATTTCACCAATGAGACTATATTAGCACGAACAGTTAAGCTAAGCACAATAGTTTGCAAATACAGAGGTTATTCTAGTTAAGGTTTGAGGATATTTTATACATATTTAGGAAGAAAAATTACGCATGTGTATGGTGCTATACAATACTCTCTAAACATTGTTAAAGCTATTCAAATGCAGAAAAAAAAAAACCCAGTGTGACACAGAATAATAATGACTTTGATGAATTGGTTATGGTTTTAAAGAGTCAGTGTATTTTATGTAAGCTGCAACAACCCCTTTGAACAGCAGAGGACATTTAGTTACCCCAATTTGTCTCCTGAATGGTATCCAGAGGGAAGAACAGTGGGAACAGTGAGAAAACTCAGCCTGGGGATGGCCAGAGAGAAAGGCCCTTTTGTGCGGCGGCAGAGGCAGAATCCCACACGCTCACTTTCACACACGGACAAAGGAGGAAGGGGAACATTCCTCTCTTCTGTTTTGTCTATTTTTTTCCAAGGTCTGCAGCACAAAATCCCTCCCAGGCAAGTTGTCAGCAAGGAGGAAGCACCCTGCATGCAGAGGCCCAGCCTGGGAGATTAGCGATATCGCTTACTGCAAACCCGACACAGCAAGAGAAACTGCTGCGAAAGGACGCAGCAGAGGAGCAGTCTGAGAACTGACTGCGTGAGCAAATAATAAATACAGCTGCCGCTTTAATCATTGCACCAAATTTCCAATGATGGATGCCAGAGGAACTCCACAGTAGTCAGTGGAGAAGCCGGGATGAATTAAAGCTGAAGTAAAACTAGCATGGCAAAGTTAAATATACCTAATCCTGTACACCACACTGTGTTGCTCATTTTTTACTTCACTTGTTAAGTAAGACATATGCACAGCAGCCACTGGGCTTCTTCTGCTGAGAGGAATTCAGGCTGCAGGAGATCGGAGAGACCACGAGAGACATCACTGCCTGCAGTGATGGTGGCCCACAGCTGAGCAAGGGCCAACCATGTTGGTTTTTATCCCTGATCCCAGAGCCTTTTGCATTAAAACTCTGCTGCATAAACAACTGAACAACACTGAGAGCAGGGAACAGAGTCTGAACCTGTCTGCAGCAAACTGCAATGTCCAGCACCTTCTTGCATCACGTCCCTCGAGTCCTGTATCTCTCAGCATCATCGCACTGTCGTGACAAGAGGGGATGAGACTGCCTTTAGCCTGGAGGGTCTAGGACAGTGTGGTTTTAAACTTCTTCAAGTACGAAAGGCACTAGGAGAGGTCTTAGTGACAACACTGTTAAGAAAGGGTACGGCAGCACAGCTGCCACAGATTTTAAAGGGATGGAGACAGTTTCACATTGTAAATAGTCATTTTAGGCAGCTAATACAAGGGATGAATATGCACTGTAAATCCCAATGAGCTGGAGCACTTCTGTTCCAGAGAAAGACAAGATTTGGGGCAAACCCCAGTTTTGTGTTCACTGCCACCCCTGTAAGCATACCAATCACTGTGACGATCTTAAGGGTCTTTTCCAACCTAAATAATTCTATGATTCTATGAAAATAATTCATCAGCATCAGCCTTTTTTCCAGGCACACTCAAACCACTTATCTCCACCACATTGCAGACTAAGTGCCCTGAGAATCTAAATGTTCCCTTGGGCACAACTGAAAAAGTGCAGCACTGTCATACAGCTCCACATTTGCATTATCTCCATGTGCCATCCAAGTCCATCAACTAGGCCTATAACACTTACAAGCTCTCATTAAGCCAGACCTCTCAGAACCTCCTTTTTGGGTCAGGATCTGCACAAAATGCAGGGAGAGAGATTAGTCCTGTGTATCAGAGACAACTTGTCAGAGCTTTAATGTAAATGAGGGAAAAAGAGTTTCATCCCTTTTCTCTGCCCAGGGAAATGTGAACTCTTAGCACCACAACCCCTTGATACAACCAGCAGTCTAGAAGGTTTTCTAGATGCCTTTCTCAGTCTTTTCTCTGCAAATGGCTACATATGGCATTGAATAATGAAACAGCTGTTGGACTGTAACAGGGAAATAATGCCATAGCCTAGTTTGGAGAGTAGTCACTGGGAGAGAAGGGGCATGCATTCCTGTCAGCTGTTCAGTGACTCAAGATCTTTTAAAAATAACCTGGAGTACTGACATATCCAAGCCTTTTGATGACTTAAGCTCTAAGGTTTCGCCCATGCCTAGTTTTGTTTTCCTAGTTAGCTCTACCATAAAGCCTCCTTAAGTGAAACACAGCTGATCCTGGCAGAAAATATTGTCTTCTTAATTATAGCATTGCAACTCTTCCCTAGCCAGAATCAATCATACAAGCAGAAAAACCTTCTGCCAGTTTAATTCACTCCATCTACACCAGGCCATTCCTGCAATCAGCTGTCTTACAAATGAAGACCACAGCGCTTCAGAGACCCACCACACCACGTCCACATTGCCTCTATATGAAGCATGAGTCCAGCCAAGCTAAAACCCAACCTGCATTTCCCTCAGACAAATGGATAGGTAGCATCAGAGTTCTCCTAGGAAGGGCACCACCATCTAGTATGTGCTTAATAAGAGTCACTGACTTTGCCATGAAGAAAGGTGGGAAGAGATGGAGGTGGTTAGGAGGGGTTCAGGGTGTCAGGGGCTACCCACAGCACAGGGAACCGCAGCCTTCTGCAGAACTGGGTACTTTTGGCATGACTACAAAAGCTGATGTGCTTCAGATATAGCCCAGAGAGTGGAAACAGCGTGGAGAGCCAGCAGGCTTGGTATCAGAGGTTTCCTCTGTCCTGTAAATAGGATGCAGAGCTGTAACAAGGGCCATGAGTCCCTCTTTTACCATCCAACCGAACAAGCCCCCGCAGCCAATGTATCTACCACTACTACAACCTACTTCTTCTCCCTCCCTGCTCCCCTCAGCCTCCCCTGCCTGCTGCTGCTGCTGCTGTGGGAGCTGATGGGAACAGCACTCTAGGCAGTTAAACAAAGCCAAGAGGAACAAGACAGGTGGAAGAGCAGACTACAGCTCCCAGCCCCTCTCCCTGCTCATCGCAGGCTGCTGGAGAGATCACCCTGGTGGCAGCAGGGGTATCTGGTAAACCACTTCAGCTCTGGATTTAAGCACTTTGGATAGACGAGGTAGAGACAGGACAGGTTTGACACTCTCCTTCTGCACAACTTCTATCTGACTGCAAGTTATGCCATCAGTGTTTTTAAATTTACATTAAGCCTGCAACAGATAACACTCGATGCTATTCTGCCCAGGGATCCAAAATGGCAAACTATTTCAAATCTTCAAAATGGTGAAAAACAAATCATTTACATTTTTGTAAGCATTTCAGTCTTTCCTCCATACCCTGATCCGAAACCACAAAATACAAACGGTATGCCTTCTTTTGAGGCAACAACCGATTTCAAGGAAGTGCAATAGGTAACACCAAACCAAATACATGACCCAGGGGAGGCATTTGAGCAGGAGCTGAGCAGAGCTCTCAAACACTCAGGCTGTAAACCTTCCATCCATCACTCTCAAGCCTCTGCTTTGTTTATGCTAGGAGTTAGTAGAGTAGCAGTTAGCAATGCTGGTGAAGGAAACTGAAGGCTGGATGTGGGAACAGGCCTTCTGTCTGAGTACAGTTCTTATCTTCCCTCCATGCTTATGCTCCAGTCATGTCTCATCTACCGCAAGAGATCATTATCCCCCCTGCCTGTCCCAGCACTTCTGCGCTGGCAGTATCACTTCATTATTTGTCAGCCAACCCACGGGTTCACATGTTTGTGCACATCTTGGCTGTCTCTTGCTTTACTATTGCTTGCTTCATTTAGATTTATATGCCACCTTCTAGTAGTAAGGCAATAGTTTTGTTCCTTCTGTAATGAGTAATTCACTTCTGGAAGAACTTGATTTTTTTAACATTTGGAGGAACATTCATCAAAAGACTCAAAATACTGTTTCTTTATCCTGTGATATTTTTGACTGATTTTTCCCCTCTTTCTTCCTCTCTCCGATCCAGTTCCACTGATGTTTGCAATGGTCAGATAGACAACCCAACTTAAAGTACTGCCACCAGTGCTTTAAATTCTATCTCATGTGGATCTCTTTGAGCTGGGTTAGCAAGCACAGTATGTACAATCCCAGCAGTCTCTTGGAGCTCTCTGGGCTAGATACCAAACCCCGCTATCATCATCATAATTCAACCAGTGATTGTAAGCATGGGATATTTTATTTTAAAATATCTTGGAGTACGTGCAGTCACTGTCACCTAGGAGATGCTGAGTGAGTAGGAGTTTAGCCACAGATAATTTTGAAAAGTCATATTTTGCAGGGTGAATCAACTTATCCTTTCTTTAGCTGGGAAGCTGTCCATGTGACTACTGTAAAATAAATTATAAATTAGAAATAAATTATTCTGAAAATGTAGCTGCTTACAACTGTGCTCACATCTGGCACTTTAAAAATAGCAGTAAAAGGAGTTGGGTAGAAGCAGAAAAGAGAAGAACAGTGTAAGAGGGAGAAGCAACATAGAAGCTAAGGAAATTACTGAAATCCCAGTTACTTAATGACAGACATAGAAGTGAAATCTATGGTTCTTGTATATAATTATGTAAGTTATTACCATTGGTGCTGTACCCATAAAAACACTAGTGAATATAACAGAAATAAAAGTGTCTTGTGCATGTAGTCTGCCTAGACACAAACTCTTGAGAGGGGGAAAAAAAACAAGAAAAAAAAAAAAGGTACCCTTTAAAACAAGGGATATTATAACCTTAAAAAAAGGTCATATGAAAAGTGTCTTGCTTTTCGAAATAGAATAAAAAGGTGGAGAAATACAGAGCCTGTAGGCTTAGCTTTGTGTGTCAACACAAACATTGTCCTGCAGACAAATCTTTGTCTACTGCCCCTTAATTAAAGGAGCTGTCCTGGAGTTTTCTTAGATCAAAGAGAGAAACAAAGGAAAAGACAACTATGTGGGGAGAGAGAAAACAATAAGGTCTCTGTTTCCTTCATGAAATTTACTGGGAGAACCGCTGTTTTACTGCAGAGCCACAGGCCTTTTCTATTTACAAATTCAAAGCCCAGTGCTAAACTTTCGAAGATGCTTGTGCCAGGTTCTGTTTCCAATTACCTGCACGCTGTGTGGTTTCCCAAGTGGGGTTTCTGCTGAAACCATAATCAGCCTAAAGTACGTAATATCCACAAATGCCGGCTTGGATCAACAGGCTATGCTCCATGTCTCCGGCAGCCCTGTCCTGCCTGCAGGAAAATGCCTTCTTTACTATCAAAAGAACCCAGCGAAGCTTAGATATATTTGGCTTTAATTTAGATGTAGGCCAGCAGCCCAGGAGAAAACTGGCAAGTGGACATAAGGGAAAACTGATAACAACTATTCTGTCTATTACACCTCTCCGTGGGTTTCCCCTCCTCCCAAACAGCTTGCAATGGTGAATGCGAGAGGCTACGCAGGATGCTTGAGCACCCAGAAGTAACAATTGGCCCTGTTTGCTAAAAATCAGTATCCGTAGAGGATTTCCAGCTTAGTTTCCAGCTCTCCAAGTTTCTGGTTTTGAAAGGACGGGGAAGCTATATGCAGAAGGACTGCAGGAAGAAGCTCTTCCGGTAAGCAAGCTGTGCCCTTGAAATGGAGCAAAGCACCCTTGCTAACTAGTTTGGACAAAGGCGGAGTTGCTGCATTGCCGAGGGGAACTGGCTAGGGTTGCCCCATACTTTTTTTTGAAATTTTAAACCAGAGATGCTGTGGCAATCACCAGCTGGCTGGCAGAAGCAAGAACTGACTGTTCAGTGAACTACATCACCGAAAATGTTTAAAAGGTCTTGACACAGGGAAGGCTAGTGCATTTTAGATATCCTTAAAACCTCAGATTCTTACACCTGCACATTGAAAGACACTGGCAAAAGTAACCCAGCAAGCAAATTTTTGGGAAGCACAAATCAGATGTTGACTTCATGTATCCAGGTTTGTGGCCTTTGACAAAACCTATGAAATCTAAAGAAGTGCAACCCTTTCCAGGGAATATGTTTGGTTGTTTCTTTCCCCCAAATATTAGAGGATTTAACTTTATTACACTTATTTTTATTTTTTTTTTACTGACAGAATTCTAAATTCTCTGAAGTCTACAAAAAGAAACACTTCAATGCTGTAACATGATTTTACCCTTATAGGACTTCATCTTGAAGAGAAAAAAAATTGAGGTCTCACCTGTTTGAATTCACAAAGGACTTTAATGACCTGTTCAGTGCTTTTGACTGTTAAAGTTAAGACAAAGACATAATCAGCTCCAAAATCTTAAAAAGTTAATGCTAAAAAAGTTAAAACTTGAACATTTTTAACCTCAATTATATGCAAACTGTGAAGTACTTAACTTCATTTCATTTCAGATAAAGGGAGCAGAGAAGAGACTGAGAGGAAGATCTCCACTTTTTCATTGCACTTCTCTCCAGACTGCGTGTCCTTCTGTGAGTATAAAATACATGGGCAAGAGGTGAAGGTAGAGGAATAGCCACAGCAGCGGTATTACCATTCCTGAACTGTGTATGTCTGTCTATTAACTCACCTGGTTCCTCCGCTGCAGACATCTGTGCATCAACAGAAAGGCAAGAGTCCCGCTGCCTTTGTCCTGGCTTCAGGGGCAAAGGGGTCTGCAAAAGGCCACAAATAGGGACCAAAGTAGGAACAGTTTCACTCCACCTTTTTTATTCTGTTCAGCTCCACAGGAAGAAAATATTCTGTTCACATGGAGCAAACTCAGTAAAAAAATGAAACAGTAAAATACTGCACTCTGCAGTATAAGCCAATATTCCTATAGTGCTTTACTGATGCAAAAAATGAATTTATTTCCAATACCTGATGTGATTAATCATATCTCTCTCCCTCCCCCCACCCACTTTTCTCTTCAGAGAAAACTGACGCTTAAACAGCTTTTCCCTGGTAATAAACAGAAGTTTATGGCAGAACCAGAAATAAAATTAGATCTTCCTAATACCTGCCTTTCCTATTGCATGAGGAGCAGAAACTAACCGTAATTCCATTGTTCAGACATATCTTTTTTCTTTTTTCCAACTGAGCGTGTGCTAGTATATGTAGGAGTCAGAAAAACTTTAACAGGGAACTATTTCCCAGGTAATCTGCACCTACAATTTCTTCTTGCTGAGAATGCTTCACTCAAGCTGCCTTTCGCTCCCCACAATCTCCTCCCCCTCTGCTGCCCCATCAGCCATGGCACAGCAATGCAGGGAGTCCCTGCGTAGCTCTGTGGAAGATGAACCGCTGCAGTTGCTCAACTGGCTGGGCTCATTTGCCTTTTTTAGTGTCCCCAGAGAGCAGGGCAAGCTCAAAAAAAGGGAACCTATTGCCTGGATCCCTTCGCATTTAAACTGCGCATCAGGAAGCCCTGGGACTGATGAGGAAACCTACAGTACCTTCCAGCTGCTTCCAAATACAGTAGCAACATCAAGAGTAGCCAATGCAAATACTGTTTTTTTACACTGCCCCTTCAAAAATAACTTCTTTTACAAGTTCTCTTTTACCACATGTAAGCTGAGCTATTTTCTTGGCTCTCAGGAACGAAGGGCAACTTTGTAATTTGAGTAAGAGGAAGGCTGGAACTGCACTCTCCCCGGAGACCTACAAATGAGTAACAACTGAGCCGCTGTGCCTCTCTTGCTCTTGGGAGAGGGAATACACAGCTTCGCTCCTTTCTGCAGGCACCGAGCCAGGCAGTCTGGTCAGGAAAGCAGCGGGAGCCGGAATGACTTCTGTTGCCCGTGTCTCTCCTGTCATTGCTTACAACAGGGAGTATCAAGTGAGCAGCCTCTGCTCCTTCCTCTTCTCGGCTGGAGGCACAATGCCCCTTTCTAGACCGGGATAAAAGCATGTGATACGTATATTGATATATGCCTATACAGTGACAGTCTCCTTGAAAAGTCATAGCAATGACAGCAAGTAGGTTGAATTAAATGGCATTAGCGCATCAAAGTCAGCTGAATTAGAGACTTGTCTGGACTAGGCTTTTCAAACAAACATTACATATATCAGTATGCACTATCACCATACCTTTATGCTCCAACTCTGTCAAAGGCAAACCAGAGTTGGACATAGCCAGAATCTACATTTAAATAACATTTGGTTAATTGAAGTAGTGCTTAGCAAGGAGATACGAAGGAAGTTGCTGATGAATTAAGGTGATTCTTTCAAGTTTTTCCATTAGTATTTTGACACTTCATTTTATTTTAGGAGGGGCTGATAGAGTACTGCACCTCCAAGTTGTTATCAAATCACACAACATATTTAATTTGATTGTGAAGTCGGAGTCAGTATTTGTTTTCAAAAGATACATAGGAGCACAGAACTAGAGTAAGAACTCGAAGCAAAGAGGTTCAACTTCTCTTAAATAGCCCATGGAAGTTCCCACACAGCACTGCTGCCAGTCCAGGAGATCTCTCATGGACCTGCGTGATTTTGATTTTTCCTAATGGCTTAAATCATATTTTTAAGAAGACTCTCTGTCTGCCTTGAACTTCATTATGATCTAAAAAGAGGCTGGCAATGATGGCAAAAATGGATTGTCTTATTTGCATTCCCTAAATTTAAAATATTATTAATCTCAGTTTTTATTCTAATCAAGGTTCAGCATCTTCTTTCATTAGAAAAATATGGGAGAGACATATAATCCATCACTGCAGATGACAGATTCACTTACCCATGCAGAATGGGTAAAAATTTGCTGCAAACTTTCTACTCACAAACTCTACAATGTTTTTTCACATATGCAAAGAACTGCAAAGCAGCAGCGAGAGAAAAAAAACAAAACCTGAACAACCCCTTCAGCTGTAACGCACTAGCAAGCTGTCAATAAATTAGGCCCTGTCTGCTGAGATAATGGTTTCTAAGTGGTGTGGGAATTAACTTAATTCTGCAGCAGTTTGTGCTCTTGCTTCATTCCTCAGAGACCTCCTACCTGGTCAATACTTTAATCCTGCAGTTACTTTTTCTTGTAGCCGCACTCCGCAGTGACTAAAAGCACAGGTAAGCTTAACAAAAGGTGAAGAACTCTTGCCTTAAGTCTGCATTATGACTAATTTAATTGCTCACAACTTTATTTCCTTAGGGAGCAAACAGCTTGTGGTTTATTGTACCATTCTGCCAAGGAGCAGATGGATTAAGTCTTTCCCATTTCATCTAGAAACTTAAGGCTTTATTAAGGGAAAAAATTAGCAGACTAGGGAAGAAAAGTCTGCCTCCTGAGGAAAGGGAGTTTCATTGATTTCCAATAGGTAATTTTTCCAAATTCATAGACCCGCTGTATGACCTGTTGGAATATTCAGAGAGAGAAATATATGCAACCTGCAAAGAACAAAAAAAAAAAAGAGAGAAAGAGAAGGAAAAAGGGGGGAGGGGAGGGGGGAAGAGGGGGGAAGGTCAGGATGAAATGAGGAAAAAAGAGAAAGGAGAAAAATAAAAAGAAAAATAGAAAGAAAGAAAGAAAAAAAAAAGAAAGAAAAAGGAAAAAAAGAGGAGAGGGGGGAGAAAAAGACATCACCTTCAAAACTCTCCATGAGTAAGCTGCTCACCGGGGAATTCATCGAGGACTGGCGCTGCCAGCACACTAAGAGAGCACAGCGACGAAGGGCACAGCGGTAAGACTGCCAGGCATATATCCTTTCCTCTCCTTCCCGAGGACATTGCATCAGGACAGCTGTCATTCAGAGGATACTCACTCAGCTCCTTTCTGTCATTGCTGACTGCTGGAGTGACCTGCCAAGCAGGTGTCACTGTTGTGTCAGGCCGCGCTCCCTGCCCTCGGCAGCTGAGCTTGCTCACTAAGGGTTGCTCCCGGCGGTATTTATGAGATGCAGGTGCTCTTCACACTCATTTCAAAAAGAAGCCTGCTGGTACTGCCACATCCGAGCAATAAATGCCTATTGCTCCCCTGACCTACTTTTAGCCACATAGGGGTTTTTTAGTCTACGAACGCTTTCTCTTCTGTTTACAGGTGCCTAGACAACGCAATCCTGAACCAGGATGGGGTTTGTTTCTAGGCACGGTCCCAGTATTAATAGTTACTAACTTACGTTCCCTTTTCCCCGCCCACAGTGGGTACATCTGTCCATAGGTTGTAAGCTCATGTTCGTTGACACTTGTTCTGTACGCTTGACAATTACTCGGTATGACGTGGGAGTTCCCAGGTATACGTGACTTCCCTGCCTGCGCAGTCTAGGAACTGAAGCAGATTTGTCTTTCCGGCAAGACTTCTCTGCCTTCAGGGGAATACAAGTCAACACCGTCTGCCTCTGGATGTTTTCATACGAAATCTTCTGTGATTTTTGAAGTCCAATACATGGACACAAGTGATGCTAAAAACACACGTTGTACCTGGAAACAGATGATAACAGGGGATCCTCCGTACCCAGACCAAGAGGACTTTGAAACCCGAATCCTGCACCACTAGTGCTACAAGTGGCACTGGTGGTTTCAGTGTTTCAGAACTGGAAAATTAATCTTGTGACGTGGCACAAGTTATTGGACCCAGCCACATAATTTACCAGACTGTGGATACACCTGAAGCTTGAGCCTGGGGCCTAAGCATCCCGACAGATGTAGGTGCAAAATGTTCAATGAACCAAGTAGGAGTATATACTTGAGATAAAAAAATGTCATTGGCACTAAGCTTCCCGATGTCTAGTTCACAGCACAGACAAAAATGACAGAGTTAAGAAATTTATGTTCTAATGAAGTTAAGAAAAATACACATTCAGGTTAGTGATTGCTTGAGTCCGATTCTATCAGAGCTTGTCTTTCTCTTTCCCAGTGAAGGTCCCTAGTAAATTACAACAGACTCAAAACTCTGGGGCTGAATGGAACAAGTTTTCTGGCAATCTAAGGGGTTTGGTTGAGTTATTCCAGATTTACCCTGGTTTAACCAGCAGCAGAATTTGGCCGTTCTGAAGAAAATGTAAGAAAGCGGAAATAGGTAGAGCTTGTGTGTTGCGGCAGCTAAGGAAATAATGGAAATGACACCAAGTCCAACCCCGCCTACTCTGTCTATGAATCTTGGAGTTTTCAAACAGGTTATATGACTTCATTTCAAGCAAACTATCTATCTGATGAGAAAATAAGTAGAAGACAAAGTAGGAAATTCAAGTTGTGCTTGATTCTGCTTTTACTTACACTGATGTAAATCTACTCCAGCCAAAAATCTGACCTGTGTGACCTAAGACAGGAGAGTATCTTGGGAAAACCTACATGTAACTTTATATAAAAGTAATGTAGTTTAACATACTGACAAGAAAAAAAAAAAAGGAAATAAAAATTAACTGAACTGGAGCTTATGCTAATCTGCATTTAGGAAAGTGCTTTCACCGCAGAATATTTCATATTCCCAATACCCAGGGCACTGTGAAATGCTTTTCACTCCCTTTTGCTTAGCCTTAGAAACATTTCCTAAACATTCTATCTTTGTGATAATCCATATAATTTTGTCTTTGCTTTATAAGAACACATGTAATATTGTTTAGTGACTGGATGGATGACAAAGAAAAAACACCAATTACCCAGAAATCCCTAAGGGGGAGCATAAGCTTTTTGTATGTATTTATTTCATTACAGCATAAGTTGGAGTACATAAAAAGCTTTACCTATATATACTTCAAAAATGAAACTGTTAATACATCAGTTACACATAGAATTCACCTGAATTGTGAACAGTGTCTAAAGCATTTGCATTAGTTAATTTGTTGTAAGTGGCAGCATTGACATTGTTATTTCATGACTTCACAAATTTGTCCAAGGTTTATCCACTAAGACTTAAAAGCAAAGCACAAAACTCCTGCAAAAAGTAGCTTCCTAAACACTGTGGTTGTTTGAGATGTATTGCAGGTGCAAAATGGTAAGACTAACAACATAATTGGTAAAAACTCAGGCTGTTTAAGAAATATTTGAAAAAAATTGGCCCTGTAGTCATCACCGACTCAAGTATGAACTCTGGTTTCCCTTCCCCGCTATTCGTTCGTTTCAACTGGACATACAGTAGGTATTTTTGACTCTTAATTCTTCTCTTCCCTCCTATCCCTCTGCCCCACACTCCTATTTCTTCCCATGGAGTAATTTATGAAAGTTAGAGAGCCTCCAAAATAGCCTGCTGATTCCTAATACCGACGGGTTCATTCCAGCAGCTCTCAGCATTCAGTAGGCCAAAACAAATGAAAAGTGTGTGATTATATATTCTGAGTGCACAATTTTACTCAGCTTGTGTGTCAATCTCTGCTTTTAGTAGCAGTAACATAAAGTCATAATAGTTCCAGTAATCTACTAAATGTGTGGAACTATTATGAACTTGCATTAAATTATCTCAGAGTAGGAGTTGAGGCAGTAAATATACTTAAATAAAGCCATACTTTGCTACAATAGTACTCAGGCTCATACTGGTAATAGCTACACAGAGATGTTCTGTTAAATCCAATGCTACTCTGGTGCGCGGAATAATGGCAGACAACAAAAGAAAGTCGTTAAATGCTTGTTACTACAACTGCTCAACACTACCGCCATTTCCCCTTCTTGTGCTTTCTTCAGTTTCCCAGGAGCAGTGCCACTCAAAAATAAGCCCAAAGATACAATTCTGTCTAAATCTTCTGGGTTCGTTCAAGTAGAAAGCACTACACGTCAGTCCAGACACAAAGCAAATCACCCCAGTACCACTGTTAAGCTTTGTGATGTGATAATGAGGGGTAACACATCTACGGAGCAGTCAATGGAATGGATACCGTGAAGCAGGAAAAGCAATAGGCCGCTCGTGAATAGCGATAATCAGGATACAACACTCTGAGAGCCAATCAAACAGCACAGGAGAGTTACAGCTTTCATGTGAATAATTTATTCTTTTATCACTTTAAATTTTACCAGGTACGTATTTACAAAGAAATTCTTTTGTGGACAGAATTTACATCAGCTACTGCACAATTTTATTCATTAATAGGGTATGATTAGCATCCTTCCCATGTTGCTTAACAGTGCCTGTTTTGATCAAATAGAGTTATTCTTTTGCCAATTATTCCTTTGACTTAGTTTCCAAGTATAAACAGAATTTGTACAAATGCCTTTGCTGCAATTAAGATTTCTTTTTACAGAACCAGTTAATAGATGGAAATAGTAAAGTTCCATCTGTTATTAGCATTTGCTAAGAAGGCTTGTTTCTTTTTTGAAGCAGGGATTTAGCTTTAGATGCAGTGAAGGCTTTCGGCATTTCCATGTTAGGCACTGCAACACCTCTTTACCAAGGCATCACCCCTGAGAAGAATCCAAATTACCTGCTTGGCCTCCCAGTACAGTGCATGAAGTCCCTCACCTCAGACTGGCAACCCAAAATACAGAGCCTGTCTGGAAAAGCTTCCCACAGAAGAAGACTTGCCCAATTGCATGAACATGTACTAAACGTGTCCTGTATTACCCATCCAGGAGCTGGGGCCTGGAATCTACCCAGAACTCGAGGTGCAGGAGCCTGTGTGTGCTTTTGGAGGATTTGCATGAGGTTCATCCCTGAAAAAGAGCTGTAGGAGGTGGTCCCGATACTCTTCTTCTAAATAGTCATCTCGATTTGAGAAAATACACATGAAGTGGGAGGCCCGAGTTCAGTCCTTTCTCAGCTTAAGGGAATTCAAGCCTATGTCCTTTAGCAGATGACCATGAAAACAGGAGTACTCTAGGGAGGAGGAAGCAGAAAAATTGTCTCCTGCACGTCCTATTAAAAGTGGGAGAAGGGGACTGTAAGATTCATGGAGAAGACAGACCGCAGAGAGGACTCTGTCTCTCCAGTTAGTCTCAGATCACTCAGTGAGGATGAAGGTTTGAATTCACCTACCTGGATCATTTCTGAGATTTTTAGCCAATTAATGTATAATACAAAATGCATAAATATTTAGAGATCAGGGATTAGCTCCAAGAGGTCCTTCCATCCATTCCCAATCGGGCGGTGGGAGATGTGGCTTGAATCCTCGCAGGCTAAGAAAGCGAACACGTATCTCCATGTTCCCATGCCAACACAGTAGCCTTCCCCCTATTAGATAAAATAGCTCTGTTTTAAAAGCAAAACATATGCAAACACAATTCGAGGGTGGCCTGGCCCTTTGGTTTGTACCATAAAACCATATTACACCAGTGGCTTCTGGGTATCGCATCGTCTGGTTTCAGAGGAGTTGAGGCAGTAGCTAGGTAGGTGCATATCTGCTCAGAGGTGAGCAGTTCTGAATGGGTGGAGGGCACCTGCTCAGCACCTCCGCACGTCAAAGGGACAGTGATTGCTCAGTTTAAGCTACACTGGAGAGTTCTGGGATGACAATTTTGGTCTTCAAATGCCTGAAGTCTACCTAAATTCTGGGTTTAGTACCCAAATTTGGTGGGGGGTTTTGGATATGCTGAGATATAAGTGGGGGAAAAAAACAGCTCTCAGCGAACCTGCCTCAGGCTTACCAGGGAGGAAACAGAGGCCACAGAGTAGGAAATCTGGCTAGAAACATGCCTCTGTTGTCAATCATCAGGCTGTGATTATGCAAAGAGTGTACAAAGGAAACAGGTTTGATGGACAGCTACTAATGAAGACCAGACTCTGCCCTCATTCACACTGTAAACACTGAAAGCGCGTAAGCACTCGATTCAACCTTTTCTAACACTAGGAGCTAGCAAAAATACAAACCACTGCAGGTTCGTAGAATGCTTGTTACTGTAAAGATTATGTCCAAATATATTTCTTCATGGTGTACAGCAACAAATATTGGAAGAAAGAATCTGTTTCATTCTTTCCCGAAAGTCTGTGGCTTATTTTCGCAGCTTAAATCACGGAGACTTCCCAAAACTCATTTAGAAG